TTTATTTCCTTTTTTCATCACAAAGTATCAACTTCTCCCATTTTAAGAGATAATGTTTAAAAAAGGGGGGGGGGGGGGGGGGGAGATGGGCCCCCATCCCTTCAACTTTGGGACCCTCCTACTTCAACGGGCTGGCTCCGCCCCTGTTGGAAGGAGTTGTTCTTTATCTTTAGCACACATTGCTAACCCATAGAGTGTATGTCAGTCTCAAATAGGTTCGTAATTGGATATTTTCCTTTTGCTTGAGGATTCTCTTGGTTGACTATAGAGTTTTTGATACATATCTTCTATCGAATTAGATGTTTTAATTGTATTCAGTGCAATGTTAACTTCATGCTCAGTTGTCGAAAACTCTTTTAACTTTCTATAGTTGGAGATAGCTTCATGGACTAATTCTTCTATGGCAAATTTTAATTGACAAGTATTATCATAATTCGATACCTAAAAGATTAATAAGCCATTTTTCAATTGTAAATCTATTTTATTTTATTTATTTTATTGTATCCCTCAGTCTTATCCATGCCGAATACAAAACACATCCTAAATTATGCTCTCATGTGCAAGTCATTATTTCATGCTGTCTTGATACATGGTATGGTTTGATTAAGTCAAACCTTTGATGTAATTGAGTAAATCAAATATTTTTTTACAATATCTTTAGAGCAGGAAGTTTCAAGATCAATTCTTTTCATATTACAGTATATATAATTATGTTAATCTCTATTGACCAAATTAGCCCTCATACCACTATATATATGTCTTATCGTTCACTCAGTTTCTCACAAGCTCTCAAAAGCTCACAACATATATAAAGTGCAGCGAATGGCTAAATCTCAAGTTTCGTGTACCATTTTTTTTGCTATCCTCATCTGCTTCATCCTTGTAGCATCCAATGGTAAAAAAATAAAAAAACTTCCTTTATTTCTTTGTTTCAAAATGAAAGTCTTGTTCTATTGAACACATGTTCGGTACCCACTACAAATATGTCTTTTCGAGCTGAAGACGTGCATGTTCTGCATGCAATATGCAACAATATTGCACATGACAATAGACAAGATGCGTATGGAGCATGTACTTTTCAGCTAAAGACATGTTGGAAACAGCATACAAGAATTTAACATCATTATTTCCTTAATCTACCTTAGTAACACTAAGGGCACATTTGATAAGGTTTCTACTTCTTGTAGAAGAGCTTTTCCAAAAAGTTACCTTAGATCATCTTGATCTAAAAGCTTTTCTATCAAGACAAACTATCTAATAGCCCGTTTGGCATTTCTTTTGAAAAGTCAAAATGAGATTTTGAGATCGAAAAGTTGCTTTTAGACCCGTTAGACTATATTTATGAAAGTGCTCTTCTAGTTAGAAAAGTTTTTAGAGGTAGCTGGTCCAATGTAACTTTCTCTAAAAACATTTTCGAATAGGAATTTCATTTAAAAATTAGTTTCCGAACAAAAATAAGCCCTTGTTTGAGCCCCAACTTTAGAGAAAAAATTCATTTTTGAATAGTGATTTTTGAAGAATGTATGGTTAAAAATGAAGAAAAAGTTTTTGATTTACGTGTAATATTATTTTATAGGAGAATATGCGATTGAAAATGAATTTTGAAAAAATGGTTTTTTGATAAAATGTAAGGTAATTTCATCCAAAAGCTCTTTTACAGAAAGCAAAAGTAAAGCCAAACGAGCCCTAAATATGTTCATAAACATTTTCAGAATAAGTTTTTAAATTTTTAAAAGCCGTGCAAAGGACCCTAAACATACCATAATAGTTTAAGTACATAT